ATGTGATAAATGATATCAAATGTGGAGAAAAAAGAGTAGACCTAAAATTGTGTATAAATATCAGAAACAATTTGTTGATTAGTTGTAAGAAAATATTTATTACAATGAACTAAATATATTATAAGAGGTTTTATCAAAAATTTGTTTTTATTTTTCAAAAAACCTTTAGGTGATGGGATGTAACAAAAGTTATTTTTAGAATCTGTGATCTTTAAAACATATAATTCAGCAAAAATATTCCATGCAGCTGGAAAAATTTTTTTAGCAGATCTGTGTTTTTTTTTGATTGCTTCATCTCATGCATTTAAATTTTAAATCGACCGATTTTAGATTGCCGCGTGTACCCCTTCACGCAATTTCGCGTACCCCCAGGGGTACGCGTACCACTATTTTGGAACCACTGGTCTATATGGTTCCTCTCAGGGACCACAGATTCCAGTGAGATCTACTTTACGTTAAATCCACAAGGCGCTCTTTGAACAAAAAGTTACAAGAACATGGGTATGATATCGTCAACCAGAGACATACCACCGTCTTAGCAGTCTATGCTACTGATCCTGAAATACAAGCCAACCTTCATACGGCCAAATTGGTAAAATGCCTGATCAAGTTCAACACCTTCCCAACCTGGAAGCGTTAGAAATATACAAAGCAGGCCTGTCTGGCAACTGCATTAATGCAAAGGATGCCGCTAGTACTTCATATGCATGGAGGCAGTGCTATGAAAAAAGTAATGGGAATAACACTAGCTAGTAGATAACATTTCTACACCAGTATTTGCAACTTATTATTTGTGTGTGTGAATGTAAAGATATTTTTATCACTTTATTAACATGTACAGTAAAAAACGTTTTTCAAGATTTAAATATATTGGAATTTAAAAATAATTTATAAACACTGTGTTCGAATTTCCGGTTTCGAATTTATACTGACCATTATCCTGACGAAGACCAAGTTTATGGTCGAAAATGTTCGTTTTGTTTAAATTTGTTCATACTGGGATATTAAAAAGGTTTTTTTGTGTTGATTATTGTAGCTTTTTGAAAGAAATGTGAAATGTTGAAATAAAATAAATAAGTAAATAAATAAAATATTCAATTTTTTGTTATTATAACTATATTCCATTCAAAGAAAATCAACTTTTTCAACAAACCATTGCTTTTGAAACTGAGACAAGTCCATTGGCACTTACCAAAACTGTGATTTTTTTCACCTAACACAGATAGCCATTATTGTATATTAAATTTACATGAAAGAAAAACAAAAAAAATATATAAATTAAGTCTATTACTGCTTACGAATATTTTTAAACTCATTCAAATACAAACTATTAAATATCTAGCAATAACATAAAATGGACTTGCCCCACTTTCAAAATGAACGACTCATATATATATATATTAAAGTTATGTTATTTGTATTTTTAAGAACTCACCAGTACATTGCATACAGTACACATCTTTTTTGTTTCGTATGGTACTAATCGAGGAACGTCGTCGTCATTTGATGAGTAATGCCTAACGCTGAGCTCAAAAGCTTTCTGCCTAATTAGTTCAATATTTTCTTCGTGTCTTCGAGCACTTTCTTCTTGCTATAATTTAAAATTTTTATTGTCACATAAATGTAATGCATTATTTATTTTTAGCTTTATGATAAATTTTCATAATTTATTTAAAAGCCTATAAATTTTATATGGGATTATATAAATAAAAAGCCTAAACTATAATTCATATTTATTAATCAAATAATCAAGCCAAATTCATTATTAAAGCTACATTGTGGCTAATTAAATAAACAAAATATGGAATAATACATACATACATACATACGAGAAAGACATTGGCTGCACATGAAATGTTTAGCAGGCATTAAAGAGGGTAAGGGAAAGGGGATGAGAAGAAGGAAGGAGTGGAAGATAGACAGTAGAGAAATATAGGATCCCTCTGAATGGCATACATATGGCTACAGTACCCTCTATGTTTGATGTTGATGTGTAGTTTTTATGCTGCAAGGCCATAGTCCCCCAAAGGGTCTAAAAGAAAACCTGAGTTTAACAAACACCAATAACTGAGTGCAGCCACAAATAGCTAAGTGTAGAAGTTAGTGCCAAGTGGCTGTTAGTAGGAAGACTTATATCTACTTAATACTATAAAACTAAATGCAAACACAAATCTTAATACTAATTAACAACTAGACAGACAGCACAAAAAGCAAACAAACACAATGACAAACTAGATGAGATAAATGGACTGACAGAGACAATCAGGCAAGACCCCAATTTTGTTTTTTTTTTTTTTTTGGTTTATTATTTTTTTATTTTTTATTTATTTATTTATTACTTTTATTTTGCTTTTTTTAAACATTAACTTACTCATTAACTAAACTAACCTACCATAACCTATGGCAAACCTAACCAGAGGACTAAAGCTAACAATCCCTAATCTAATTTAACCTAACCTATCATATCCTAATTGGAAACCAAGCTAAGAGTCCCTAATCTAACTTATAACTAGGACTAACTGAATTTAGACTGAAAAAGAAGACGGAAAATAAGAATTAAAATATAAAGTTCAAAGACAGATATATATCAATGGTTGAAACAAAGTAATGGAAGGCTAATTGCCATCCATGCCCCTGGAGTGAGTGCTCTCAAGAGCCCCACTAAGGGATATAAATGTGATAGATGATGGAACATTGTATGTGTGTGAATAAGTTGGTGTGGATTGCAAGCCAATTGTACTCTTCAAGAATAGCAGCTCTCATTAAACTATCCCTAATGTGATTGTACTACCTATTGCAGCGATTGTGGTGTTTGGTCCTCCTGAACACCACAATCGCATTGTGGATTGTCCCCAAGGTAAAATCTATGCAAGTATTGCTTGAAGTTGCCATGTCTTGTAAGTAGTTGAGTGAGGGTGTAACTAGAGTAAATGTGGCAAAGAATTGCAATAGTGTCAACCTTGGGGATGAAAGTGTAGGTGAGCCTACCAGTGGTGTCAGGGTCCTAGCTGTCTTGCCAGAGAATGAAGATTTGCTGAAGTACAAGGTAGGAATGTAACTGAAAATACTAGTGACTGAAGACTTTGCAGCTTGTTTGGCAAGACAGTCAGTGGTCTTGTTGCCGAGAACCCCCGCATGACCCAGGACCCATTGGAAATCTATTCTAATGTTGTTGTCTAAGTGTCTGAGAATGTGGTGTATGAGATGGACGAGTTTTAAGCAGTTATCAGACTTTGCAATCCTGTATAAAGCAATCCTGTATAAAGCTACCCTACTGTCAGAATAAATGTAATAGTGTAAGTAGTGTCTTTTGTCCTTCTTACACCTAATGTGAATTAAGCTCATATAAATAGCTAAAGTTTCCACCTGTGCTATTGAGTAGTGTGAACCTAGACAGAAGCATGTGTTGTGAAGCTCGCGGCCTATGTCAGAGTAAACTACAAAAGCGATACCTACTTTGTCACCCATCTTGGAACCATTAGTGTAAATCCTAAACAAAGGATGATCACTTGGATCTTCAAAGTAAATGTCAAGAGCAAGCTGGTGGGAGGGGTGGTAATCGTAAGTCAGGAGGATATTTTTGTCGATGCTGAATTTTTTGATATCATCAATCAAGCTCAAACTGGGGGGAATCTTACCTACTCTAATCATTTTGTCGACATCTGAGTTGCTATAATCTTGCCAGGGTAAGGTGATGAGATTTTCCTGCCAAATAATGCATTTAATTTCTAAGTTGATAGGGGTCAATCCTAACATTACCAAAAGGGCACTAGTGGGTGTGGTCCTATAAGCCTTACAAATGCGGAGAGCTGCAATCCTTTGAACAGATAATGATTTTTTACGGTTATGGACTTTGACGACCAAGTGGCCCCAGACCTGTACAGCATAGAGGAGTGCTGGATGAATTGCACCCCCGTAAATAAGCTTAGTAGTGGTAGGGCCAAGGCCCCATGTGTTCCTAGCAATAC